ATGTCTGACTCTTGCTGACCACTTATGAATTCCACTTTGCTCTGGGTTCTCCAAAGCATATTGCCATACTCTCGGTCTTCTGGAAATATTTCTCATCCACCATCCATTTGTATGCACTCTCCTAAACTTCCAGGTTGTTCTGTGGTAGTAGGGTAATTCAGCTGAATATCCTTCTTCCTTTTTTTTCTTTTTCCTTCAGGTATAAGCCAGATTTCCAGTATATTGTTTTTCTCAAAGTCTATAGGAGAAAATTTTTACACTCTCCAGTGATCTCTCCCTAGACTCGAACCACCTCTGCTCCTCTACTATGGGAACTAGGACAATATCTTCAGAAAAGTATGGATCCTCATATAATCTGGGTTATGCAATGAACCATGGGGGGGTGGGGAGAAAAACAGTTCTTGGCCTTATTCTTATCATAGATAGTCTAGATTTTCAGTTTGAAATGTGGGAACATTTGGCACTTACTGCTAAAACTGGAAAAGGTCTCTCTAGAGTAACAAAAATAGGTATGCGTATATTGTATATCTCTTCCATCAATATGCCTTTTGTCTTTTAAAGATTTTTTATTTATTTATTTAACAGAGATAGAGAGAAAGCACAAGTAGGCAGAGCGGCAGACAGAGGGAGAGGGAGAAGCAGGCTCCCCGCCGAGCAGGGAGCCCGATGCGGGGCTCCATCCCAGGACCCTGGGACCACGACCTGAGCCGAAGGCAGCCACCCAACCGACTGAGCCACCCCTGCCTTTTGTCTTTTAAATATGTATATAGTCTTTTTTAGCAGGGGAAGGGCAAAGGAAGAGGGGGAGAGAGAATCTTTTTTTTTTTTTTAAGATTTATTTACGAGAGAGAGAGAGGGAGGGAGAGAGGGTAAGCACACACTAGTGAGGGGAGGGGCAGAGGGAGAGACAGAATCCCCAAGCAGACTCCCTGCTGAGGGCAGAGCTGGACATGGGCTCCATGTTGGGCTTAATCTCAGGACGCAGAGATCATGATCTGAGCTGAATTCAATCAACTGAGCCACCCAGTGCCCCAGGGAGAGTGAGAATCTTAAGCAGGCTCCATGCCACAGCTCTACCTCACAACCCTGAGATCATGACCTGAGCTGAAATCAAGAGACTGACTCTCAACCAACTGAGCCACCCAGGTGCCCCATAAATATGTATACTGTGTCTTTTGTATTAACACTGTTACATTCAGTCAATCTTTTCTTTTATATTTTGGTATCTCGTTTAATGAATCAATATTCCTAAATAAAATGAAAACACATAAAAAATGTTTTTACACTTAGGTTTTTAATTCAGGTGGGATTTCATTTTGTATCTTTCATAGTATCTAATGTTATTTTTATTATGGAAGACTAGTCATTCTTAGTTTTTAAAAATGTTTTGTTTTTGTTTTATTTGGGATAGTAGAGCTTTACATACTGATTTGTAATATCATCTCTATAATATAATAAATATCCTTATCATCACGCATCAGTTTCTGGATTCTTTGTTCTGACCATAAATTCATTTGTACCCCTGAGTAAACATACAATGTTTTGTTTGCTATGCTTTGCCATAATGTTGCTATGGCAATTCTTCCTCCTTATTTTTCTTTGTAAAACACCTGTCTTAGTTATTCTTTAATTTTTATAGTTTTATACAAGTCTTATTTTTTTCCAAATTATATTAAAAACTGTGCATTTTGATGATTATTATTTAAAATGTATATATGGAGAATTTACCTCTTTGTGATATTGTTTTAATGCTCTAATATGTTATTCCAATTATATATATATATCTTTTTTTTATGTAATGCATTTTTCCAAAATAACATTATAAAATGGTTCTTAAATTTATTCCTAAGTGCTTTAGAATGTTTGTCGACACTGAATATTATATTTTCTAATGGTGAGAAGTAATGGTAAAAGAGTGTTTGCCATCTAGTTTCTCCATTTACCAGCAGGTAAAATATAAGTTACACCAAGTAAAAGTTTAAAATAAATGTTAAAATATAAGTTATACCAAGTGACATGTGGTTTAGAAGGGAGAGATGAGGCTAAAGGGCCAATGCTAATATCCTACTTTTCAGCTAGAAAAATTATAGAGATGTAAGGCTTTTGGCAGCAACATTTTATTGCAAATTCAGAGAGATTGAGGTGTCTTTAGAGCAGAAGAGACAATCAGTTATGTTAAGGTAACGATGTTTCCCTATTGCCAATCACAGTTCTCAATACATGTATTTGAAATAAAAAGTAATTTCATTCATTAATATCCTAATAAGAGTATGAAAAAAACATATAAGCAAGTCAATGTAACTTCCCAAGTAGCTTCATTAAATATCTATCTTTAACAAACACTCACTGAATATGGAAGTAAAGACATCTCACTGATCAGTTTTGAACATGACAGAGTTATATAAATGCATTTAAGTTTTAAATACATTTAAGTTTATAACTAAGAATATGATGTCCATTAAAAAGACTTATAACAATAAAGGTTATTCTTACAATAATAGTGAAAAGGAAAGGGGTTGTGAGAGTAGAGACCAAAGTTAAACACACTTCAGTGCCAATGATAACGTACTTAACATTATAAATGGTAGGGAAACATGATTGAGTAAACCAAGGCAATAATAAATCATCATTAACTGAATTAAAACAACATTTCCAAGTAAAATTCATATTATAGTGTAATAAATACAGATTGGATTCCAAAAAAATGCCAAGGCAACGACTCATATTGTAGTTAAGATGTAAGGAGAGTTAAAAGGCAGTGATTTTTTCATGTGCTATTTTCAGAAAAACTGAGATATCTAAGAACAAAAGCAAACACAACATGTTTTTAAAAAATGAATGATAGTACACAAGTTTGAATTTTCCTATGTAAACTTTACATAAAGTAATGCCACAGAAAAAGTAACCATGCAGATGGTGGTGAAAGGTAGCAGAAAAACTAAGTTTTCCAGTGCAGTTAGTTATATAATTTCAACTTCACCTGAGGTGTCAAGTAATGAATTATGTCTCAGAAAACAGAGAATATTTCAGAAAAGCAAACCTTCAAAAAATAGGTAACTTGAAAGATGTGATCAACTATAAAAAGGTCACAAAGAGAGGTACAACATGAATCTTACCAACAGAATATTCTAAGAACAGAAGATCTTGTTCCCTCTTAAAGCAAATATTCTCAGAAGGATTTATACTTTGGCTGTCAAAACTAAAATAGTGAAGTCAGCAATTATTTATCTACCTATAAGAGAGGTCATTGCAAAGAAAGAGAAGCAAAAATACCTTTAGATTTCTGAGGGATATATTTAACATGTTTTGGTTTATATCTGTAAGAAAAGATGTTGGAAATCTAAGTGTGTAGGTAAAAAAAGAAATGTAAGGTAAAAATAAAGCATTCCAACAGAGAATAAAGAAACTACTTAAATAATTTCCAAGCAAGCACAAGGAATATTTGATTTCATCAAAGCTATGTGTTGTGCTAAAAAAAAAAAAAATAAGAATAATGCTTTATCTATTTCAACATTAGACTATGTGAACTCAGAATTCTGTCCTCCTCCTTTTTACCATTGGTATTTAATCTCATGAAAATACATCCTAGATGGCTGGAATGTTAAGGTCATATAATAATGTCAGGGAATGCAGATGGTACAGTTTTGTATTTCAAAGCTCATTCTTCAAGTTTATATCTTATTTTAAGTTATATAAACTGCATCTAATTTATATGTTCAAATCAGTGTTGGAAATACTTCTATTATTGAAATTAATTGAATTAAAGAAGTTTGTGCTATTGAAATTAACTGAATTTTTAGTTTTCCACATCTTTACCAATTTGCTAAATGCCTAAATAATATTTCCTTTGGCATGCATGTGTTCAGAAAGCTGACTTCATGAAACACATGGCAAATACTTAAATAACACTTTGTACTTAATACTATGTTAATTTACAATCAAGTAGATTAACACACATACTGTAACACATATACTGTAACAAAATAGAGTTCAAATATGTTTTTAATGTTCAGTGCCACTGCTAATAATACAATATACAGAATACAAATTTATAGTCAAAGATGGACAAAATTTGTCCAATATACCAGAGATGTTATTTTGTGTGTATGTGTGATATGCATGTTTTGGGGGTAGTCTATCTTGGAAAGATAGTAAAGCTTATTTGCTATGTACTTTGGCATTTTTAGTTAGTATCTATTGAATGTTCCCTCAAGTATTTCAAAAACATATTTGAAGATGTAAGTAGTATTTTGAGTTACCATGATTTTAGAAAATAATGTAGCCAAAAAGGAAGAGGGAAAAAAAGTTAAGTCCTAAAATTACTTATTTATTTAAAATCAGAAATGTCTTATTCCAGCATCATATAAGTAATATATTATTTGGATATTGCTAAAACTACGAAGTAATATTATGTTGTTCTGTAATTAAATTGAAAGTCATATTCATTCAAATGGCAATATTATATAAAATGTAAGACCTAGATATGAAAATGTGTCCCCTCAAAAATACATGAAAATTACCTTTTATAGAAAAATATTTATAAATTTTATTTCTAATCTTAAATTTAGTACAAGATTATTGATGTCAATACACTTCTTATAGGCAATATCCATTGTATACTTATATAAAAACAACATACAATTCCTTAAGTAGCATACATAATGTCATTGTATCTGTTTGAATAAATTGCTTCCAGTAGCTAACTTACAGGAAAAGGTCTATAATATCTACTTCCTATTTTTATATTGTATTTCTGATAATTTATCATAGCTCTGTCTGATTCTCTCCAACTTAATTTTGACTAAAATACTAAGATATAAAATAGAGAAATTTGCCTCAGCTCCAGAGTCTAGGAGTAATGCTATAGTTATTTAAATATATATATATGAGTATAAATATATATTTAATTTTATATGAATAAAATATGAATATATATATTCAGCTGTAACAGGTACATAGCATAAGGAAGTAAAACAAACAAACAAAAAATTCACACTCACATAGATGTCCAGGGCAGATATGGCAGCTAAGCTGTGTCTTTGTTCCACACTGCTTCTAGCTTTCTCCTTCACACTGAAGTGTGGCCTTTATCTTCATGATACAAGAGGGAGCTCAGCCCATCAAATCTAAATGTATAAAAAAATCACATGAATTTAAAATGTCTTAAGGAACTCAAAGGACAGACATTGTCAAAATAGATAAAAATGCAAAATCCAACTGTATTATATATATAAGAAACCTAATTTTAATATAAAAGCACAAATACATTCTAATTCAAAGAAGGAAAAAGGATAGATCATGTCAGTACTAATCAAAAGAAAGCTGGATTAGCTGAACTGATATCAAAGTAGATTTCAGACAAAGACTATTAACAGGGAAAAGAGGGTCATTTATAGTGATTAAGGTGTCAATTATTAGTGAGGCATAACAACCCTATGTGTTTATGCATCTAATATCAGAGCTTCAAAACACATTAAACAAAAACTGGTAGGAATATTAAAAAAATAGACAAATACATAATCTACAATTATGGTTACAGAATTAAATTCCTTTTTCTCAATAATTGGTAGGACAGATAGAAAATCTTTAAGGATACAGAAGATTTGAACATTATCAACCAAATTAATGTAATTTACATTTCTTGAACATACATTATAAAAAGAATATATATTAGGTCAGATGGCAAGTGCATATGAGCTTTTATCAAGACAGAATATATACTGAATATATACCATAATAAAATATATGCATAATATATACACCATAATAAATATATGAATATATACCATAATAAAAAGTCTCAATAGACTGAGAATATCTACAGATATTAAATACAGATATTAAATGATGTTAATATTACAAATAATGTAATGTCAAAAAGTTGAACAACATGGATGAAATGGATAAATTCTTTGAAAGACATAAGCTACCAAAACTCACTCAAGAATTAAAAAAAATATATGTTCTTATATTTATTAAAGTAATTAAATTTGTAGTTAAAATTCTCCCCACAAAGAAATCTTCAGATCCAGATCAGTTTACGGGGGAGATTCTACCGATGCTGTATATATTTTTTTTTCTAAAAAACTGAAGAGACATGAATACTATCCAATTTATCTTATGAGTCTACCATTGTTCTGAAATAAGAACCAAGAAAACTACTATTTAACAGTAAAATGAAGGGTAGCAACAAGGTGCTTAGAATATATGCAAAGCACCAGAACATTTTTTTAAAATATCTGGTATTAAGAACATATCACATAAACCTTATGACAATCAATAACACAACAAACAGGTATAGACAAGAAGCCAATAAAGATTTAAAATAATACAATGAGCTCAATCCAGAAGAGGAAAATAAAGATAAAACAGATGAAACAAACAGTAAAGCAATTACTGAGAGGGCATATCTAAAACAAAACATATTAATATATGCATTGAAAGTAGGTGCAAAGGGAGATAACCCAACTAAATGTAATTTTATGAAAGGAAAACTGATAGGCCTCAAGTCTAGATGAAAAATTCTTAACAAATTTCAACAAATTGAATCCAATAATGTATAAGTGCATAAAATACAACCAACAGGGTTTAATTGAATTTAAATTAAAAAAGAAAGTTGCATTCTTAAAAAAAAAATGCAAGGCTGATTTAACATTTTGAAATCAATAAAAGTAACTCACCATATTAACAGATTGAAAAAGTAGAAATGTATGATCATCCCTATTGTTGCAGAAAAAGTATTGCACAAATTCCAACAGCCATTCCTAATAAGTTTCACTAAACTAAGAACAGCAGACAAATTCCTCAATATGATGAAGGATATCTTCAAAAAAGCTCACTGGATCCTAACTGGTACAGCTTCTATTAAGTCACTGTGAAAATTTGGTCTCAAAGTAATCATACTAACTATTGCAGCATAAATCCTTACAATTAGCTGAATTTTAAGACCCAATGACACCTGACAATTCTTTAAATCACTTCAAATACCTTGCTCTGAGAAAAAAAAGTAACATATTATAGACCTATTTCATTGTTTTTCTTCAAAATTCCCTTACATTTTCAATATTTTAACACGAGGTATATGTTAGAGTATGAATGATTTTTTAAAATGTTACTTAAAACTAGGAGATTTGCTTCCCCCTTTGTTTAAGTATAAAAAAGAAAAGATTTATCCACATTTTTGCAACTATACCCATGTATCATACCTATATATGATCTTACATTGCAAAATATACTGTTTTTCTCAACAATAGTCGGCAGGAAACTGCAAGTTTGACATCTATTTGAATGCCTTTGAGCCATTTGCCAGAATTCTACACAAGAAGGAATCTCACAGTACAAATCAAGGGGATTATGAGGAAAGAAGGTAGGGGCTCTAGAATTTGATAGCAATATTTTCATGGCTATGTTAAACTCAAAGTAACAAATTTTGTTCATTTAGAAGTTATTGTCGGGGCGCCTGGGTGGCTCAGTTGTTAAGCGTCTGCCTTCAGCTCAGGTCATGATCCCGGGGTCCTGGGATCGAGACCCGTATCAGGCTCCCGCTCCATGGGAAGCCTGCTTCTCCCTCTCTCACTCCTCCTGTTTGTGTTCCCTCTCTCGCTGTGTCTCTGTCAAATGAATAAATAAAATCTTTTAAAAAAATAAATAAAAGTTATAGTCTTCCACATTGGGGAGATATTCCTAACCAAAGTTAATTGAGCTAGTGTACAAATGGATTGTAACTATTTTGTTATTTGGGAATATTTTTGTTCTTTATATTCAATATAATATGATGTATAAAATTTGAAATAAAACAAAATGGCTGAATGCTCTGTGGGAAATATTTAGGTTGGCACATAGAAGTAAGTAACTTAAAGATGCCTCAAGTGAATGGTGTTTTTAAGGAACTTTGAGAGTATAAAATATTTTTCTGTAAGGCTTATTTGTGATTATCTAAATTTGTATTTGGGGAAGGAAAAGGTGTTGAAGTTTCAGTCTGCATATGGCAATTTTCCTCTACAGATGGTTTCCTTAGTAAGAGAGGAGTCAAGGTCATTTTAATGTTTAGCATTCTTACAGCAAGTATATTTTGGCTCAATATGTATCATGAATTAAAAATAATTTTATGCTAGTCAAGATGACCCAGATAGAAGAATGTTTTTTATTTGTTAAACTGATCTGATATAAAATAGTTGAGCTAAACATACTTAGATCTGTCCCTCTTCCCCTGAAATCTTGAATACAAATAATACAAGGAGAAGAACTATTCCTCTGACCCATATTCTCCGGGAAAAAACCATGAACATTAGTGAAAAATGTGTACAACTTTGAAAGACAGAGATAATGCAGTTTGAGCAACACGGACAGTTACTCAAATGTCTGTGCCTTGTCTCAGAATAGGATTGCTGTACTGGTATTAAATATACATTATTAACATAATATTCTGAGCCCTAAACTTGTTGCTAAAGCCCTCCTAAGACTGGAGAGATGGAGCCATATGCACCTATGGTCCAAGAGTTAACCTAAGTACCACAAGCCTTCCTTTCCAAGGGTATACGTGCTAAGAGTCATTTATCCACATAGCAGAATAAGAATTTGTTGCTTTGGGAAAAAAGATCAGAGCCCATACTTATTTTCCCACGGTTCGTGTTAAATGGTGCTTAATTTATCCACAGGAAGATTGCAAAAATCTGCCTATAAATTAATGAAGTTAAAACAAATAAATCATTCTGAATACCTAAGAATTTCCATGCCTCAATTTTATTTGTTAGCTGGGAATAAATTAATGAAATCAAGTTCATTTCAGGTTGTGCCTGAAAGTGCATCTCTGAGATTTTGGGTACTCTTTAAATATTTTCCAAGCTTTACTGTAGTCTGCTCTTGAAAAGGTAACATCTGATAGTGACCCTTAGAGAAATTTAACAAAAACTATGTCATGGCTCTTTAATGACAATTCTATAATAACTCAATCTTTATCATATGAAGAAAGCATCTTTGTTTCTGGTAATTCAGAGATAACCATGGTATTTTATTCCAGTTTTATAAATGTAGTTTCAGTGTGCTCAGTGTTATACATCTACTGATTATAGAGCTGAGATTTGAATATAGGTATTTCTAATATCAGAAAACCACCTGTGTATATACTTTAACTTCCCCACATAATCCCCAACTAGAGAAGCTTTGTCATGTGAGGTGTGAGAGTAACTGTGTAAGGCAGAAGAAATTTATGCAAAACAAATAAAATGAAACTAAAAGTCAAAAACAAAATTAGATAAATGATACACAAATTTATAAATTCTCTGGCTTGCTGGGTATTTTTATGTAAAAGAACTTTTCCTTCCTATAGATTGTACTTCTGATTTACAACTAACGAACTCAAAGATCAGGGGAAAACCTGCTGGCTGACCATTATTAGTGGTGATAGGTTCATAATTATTGTGAACAATGGATAGAGATGCAGGTCAGACTATATCAGAATGCTACTGTAACAAGTAAAATAAAAATAAAGTGATGTCTGTTAAAATACTTTGGAATTTGGGTAGCATTATGCTAATTTAGAGATTTTAATACTCTCTAACACATTTACAGTCCTTTATAAAGTCTGCTAATACATTAGGATCTTCATAATTGTATCATAAGGAATTATAAAGCTAACATGTGGAAAAGAGTTTGATTTTGAAGCAAAAATAAAGAAGAAAAAATAGAATTAAAAACTTTATAGAAAGATCATCAATGAAAGGATCCTTGATTTTTGACATTGCAGAACACTGAGGAATTTTTCAACAAAAGGTGTTAGGTCCAGGAGATGTCCAAATGGACAAAGTGTAACCTTATTTTACCTCACCCTTTACATAAAATTCAACTCTAGGTAAACTGCCAATCTAATGAGAAAATAAAACATATAAAAGTTCTTAAATTTGGGTTAAGGGAGAATTTTTTTTGATCAGTACCAAAAACAAACAAAAAGCCCAAGAAAGCCCTAATCATCAGAAAAAGGCTGTTAATAAATGTGGGCTACATTAAAGTTAGAGAGTTTTGTTAATTAAAACAAAACAAAACAAAAAACCTATTTAACTGTGTGTAAAGGCATATCAGAATGGTGATATAATAACAATACATATAACTGGCAAAGTTCTTGTATCCA